CCTGTTTGGGTTCAACCATATTTATTACAACTGGTATGATTGCATCATTTAATGTTTCAGTACAATTCTTAAAGAGTTCAACATAATCACTGGCCTCTCTACTTTAGAGGCACAAGTGTTTTTTTTTTAATAAGTGACTGTCTTCTGTGGGTTGTACCTAGATTTGAATCAATGTAATAAACCTTTTTATATAATATTATATAATAATTTATATACATAAGTATATTATTACTACCAAATACTAACTCATATGATGATGACTGTAGGTGGAAAAGAAAAAGGATGCAAGTGAGGAGACTAGGAAGAACTTTTCAAACTTTATTTAGCTTTAATTATTTATTATTATTTTTATTATTTATTTAATTATTTTATTTCTTTAACTCTTTTCTCTTAGATATTCACAATGCTACTACTTACAGTACTGTACCCCTCCTTTAAATCATCCCTCAAAAGCTACCTCCATCTTTCTGTGTTGTAACTGTTTCTTTGGCCTATTTTAATTGTTTTTTGATCATGTTTAATTATTTTGCATCTTTAATTATAATTTAATTATAGATGTTTCTTTAATTATTTATATTCAGTTTTATATATTATTTAGAATTATTTCAATTTGTAAATTTAGAATACTGTATGATTGGTTTTATTTTAATTTTTTTTTCATATTCCTTATATGTATGTATTATATATATTTTTTGTTTGATTATTTCATTAGGGCTACTTAGTCTAAATTAATTTTATTTACTATTAATTTATTAGTTTCATACTCTCCTTAGAAGAAGACTTATTTCCAGTGGGGTCCTTCTGGTGGTGATAGGGCAGTCCACCGGGAGACAAACCCCTACTCCGAAGAGTGTACTGCGTTCTTTAACGCGCACATGGGCCACAAATATGGAAATATATTAACTTAACACAGACAGAATATTTATAGCCTGTCTCTTATACACATCTTTTATCCATGAGCCACCTAATTTTGGGTGCATTTATTTCTGTTCCATATCCAATATGTAGTGCAAAAAGTTAGGATACATTTTAAAATGGTACTTGTTAGTATTTATTTTTCGCAAATGAGAAATGCAGGCTTAGTTTTTAATTGTGGACTCCTACTGTATGCAGCTAATATACCTTTACACCTTATTTCCACTTTTAGGTAAATGAATTTTTCAACTAAATCTAAACAGTAATGACAGCACTGTACTTAAAATCAATGGGAATGTACAGTATAGTTATTTAGGAACTAGAACGCAAGAAAGTGGGCTTACATTAATTCTTCAAAAAACCCCTCGTTGCCCAAGCTGGGGGAACATGTTACACTCCGGTTATAGCACAGCAGAAGGATAAACTCTTGGATTGATCACATGTACATGAATGTCCTTCAAAGAATAAATATAGAATGCATTCATATAAATTAAAAGAGCAATGTATTTTACCCTACACTATATTAAAATTAAAACCATATTTTCCATTCCCTCATTGATCTTACTAGACAACTCTTTTTAACATTACTATAAAATTTTAACATTCTAATAAACAAGGATATTTATATATCTAGGCCTAAACCAAGACTGAATACCTGTGGTGGCCTTTGCGAAGAGAAAGTGGGAGGGGGATGACACCAGGTCATCCTCAACCCCAAACTTAAATTAGGTTAAATCATAGGGCCTAAAGAAATGAGTAATGAAGTACTTCTTCAGATAAATTAAAATAAATTGATATTAAATGAACCTCCTGTACATTCATGCATGCCTTATTTTGTATAAAATGTCCTTGACTATAAAAAGTTACATTCATTTACCATTTAGCTATTGTTCCTATAGATACTGACAGTGTCAAGAGATCCAGTATATTGGGTTTTGCCTGTCTCTTTTCTACTTGAGCTCACTGCATCCACCATTATTGTAAAATCATTGTTGGGGGTGGTTGACCTACTGGCCTTCTATACAGGTGCCCCATAGAACTGTGAGCAATTGAGAAGGATAAGTCAATTAACTCACTTATTCAATAAATTAATAATAATACTAAATTAACTGTAATTAAGTAATTTTGTTCATTGACAAGTGTTTTTTTTTTCCCTTTTATGTCATAAAAGCACTTTTCCCCCTTGTCATTAGTTAACCAATAGCAAATGCTGTGCGACTGCTCCAATCCCTGGAGGGTATAGCTAGCTGTGTAGTTAATTCAGCACCAGACCAACTTTATTTAATCAATTGTACCATTTGTATGGTTCCAAATCATTCATCCTACCAGATACCCATATTCCTGGGTAGAAAGAGAAGCAAGGTAGAGAAGAGGCAGAGGGGAAGATAGTGGGAGAGAGGGTAAAAGAGGGAGAAAGAGGGGAATAGAGGTAGGAAAAAGAGGGAAAAGGTAGGAGAGAGGAGGTTATTTTATCTCTACCAAAGTACTGCACTTTAGATGTAATTTGTCTTGAAAACTCTTTGATCCCTGGAAACTGTATTCCTGGTCTGGTATAGCTAATTTAGACCAAGTTCATTCAGAAAATCATTTATATCCTACCAAAAAACCACATAATCCGAGAGGAAGAGAAGTAAAAGGAGTGTTTTCAACAAGCTCAAACTCAAGATCATAACTTCTAAGTGAACACCAAGGAATTATGGCTGCGCCTCAGAGGACTATAAAATAGGGTATTTTTTCTACAAGTGCATCTGATAGACAAGTTCCCACCTTTGGTTTTTTTCCAACAATTAATGTTGATTTTCTTTTTTATACAAGGAAAAAAAAAACCTAGAAACTTTTGTCTTTTTTCATATAAATCACACTTTCATAAACTTTTAAAATTTGAAATGATCTTTGATAAATTTAATTAAAACCACAATGGTATTTAATATTAGCTGGAGCCAGACATAGGAAAGCCCAATATGCATCTAAATATACATACTTTCCAGTCATACTTAAGTCATACTAAATATTTTTTTCTCTAGGGCAACAGTTTTTTTATCCGCTGTCTTAGACTAAAAGTGAACCGCTGAAGAACAGGATCAAATCTTCTTAAAATCTTGTGCATTTTCTATTTTCTTTACCACCTGTTAGATGTTTTGTTTCATTCCCACTTCACCGTTGGGCAAGCTGCTAAGAAATATTTACTGCTATAAATAAGTTTGAGATACAGCACGATGGAATGATATAAAATCCAGTAAAACAAACTGCAAAGTGAACCTTACATAAACTATGATTTAGCAGCTTAAAATTGGATTGACTCAACTGAAACTCCAAAAGTTTCAACACATTATTCTGTGTTTTCTCTATGTTATCAACAAGAAAAAGTGACTATATTTGGTAAACCTGAAGAAAAACACAAAAATCTAAGCATTCCAATGAGAAAACAATTCAGTTTTTACTGTTTAAAAGATGTTGGATTGGATTGGATTACATTTATTTGGTGTATAACACGCAGGATAGGCCATGAAAGTCTAGAAGAAGACTTATTTCCAGTGGGGTCCTTCTGGTGGTGATAGGGCAGTCCACCGGGAGACAAACCCCTACTCCGAAGAGTGTACTGCGTTCTTTAACGCGCACATGGGCCACAAATATGGAAATATATTAACTTAACACAGACAGAATATTTATAGCTGATAACATGATTCTTTAATCTGCCTAGATATGTAGCTAATACCAGACACTGTTTGCGAACTCCTTGCATTTGCTATTTTATCTTAAATTTGTAAGCATCTGGGCCTAATGATGTAATAGCAAGATATCCCTAAGAGACTTTTGCAAACACTAAAAATATGACACAAAAAATGCTGGGATTAAGCACTAATCACACTTATAAACCAAAAATATAAAATGATCCGGAAGACAGACACCGATATCATTGCTATTTATATACATTTATAGATTTAAATACAAATTTATGTATACCCTGGAGACATGAAGATCTATTACGATAAATAATATACATCCACTGCAAACACTTAAGGAAAGAAGTTATATTAGTTGTTTTTTTAAGTATTGTAACCAAAACATTTATTTTGAAAACAAAATTATAAGAAGATATGTCTCCAGGTGCTTATGTACAGCAATTTAAAACTGATAATATAATAAAGTATAAACTCCTTTTTGGGACACCCCACTTAGAGCATGCCTCCATTAAGGAGAAACTCTTCTGCGAAACAAGAATAATTACACTAAATATAAGAATGTTGGGTTTTTTTTCAATTGCAGCTGAGTGCAAAAGTAGAACCATTGAAAGTTTAGTGTTTTTATTATTTTCCAAATTTTATTAAAAATCACATTAATAATTAATTTAAAATCTCTTTCCTGGAAAACATAAAATTCATAAATATAAAGAGTATTTATAAATGTAATTTTATGCATTAGTATTACATTAAAGAAAAAAAAAAAGAACACTATATATACCCAATAAATGTAAAAGATGAGCATTTATGTCTGCAATAAATTTATTTACCAACACTGTGATGTTTTTTTTTTTTTCATTCAGTGAATAATTCCAGGACAACAGCAGGAAGTCCAATGTTCATGCTCTGTGCATTCAAAAGCTGAAGAATCATGTTATTAATCGTCCTGAAACTAACCAGGGGCGAGTGGCTTTCCTCAAAGTGTGAAAATGAAATTAAGTCAGTCTAGGAAGGGGCAGCAGCTGTGCCTTATCAAATCACAGACATTCTATCGTGAGTGCCCCCTCCCCGTGAGGACCATGGCTGTAGACAGGTTCATGATTACAAGCAACGAATCCAATGAAGAATGTCATATGGTTAGCAATTTGTTCAGACATTAGAGTATAGAATTTGGCCAGTGTTCCAGGACTACAGGCAGATGGACAATTTAAGTTTATGGTCTATAAGGAAGGGGAACCTCAGCGCTGTTCCCCCAGGTCAAAATTCCAGACACGCTTATGGATACTGTAATATGTTCTTAATCATACATCTGTTGTATAATAGAAACAATGTTGGAAAAATGTAAGTTTTAGGTTGGAGCCTAATTCTCAAATCAATCTGTTTATGATTTTGCTTTAACTTTACCTTTTTCATGATGACAATGTAGAAAATGTTACATTTTCTAACAAGGGGCTTGTTACCAAATGCATGTTCAACTTCACGAGTAAAACAACAGTTGGTTATCTGCTATTTTCACTTGCCAGACCCTGGTAGAGATGGACACTTTCTCTTCAAACAATTTTTTTTTGGTGAAATATGCGTTGTCCCCATTAGGAGTCGAACCTAAGACACAAAAGAAGTCTGTAAAAACAATGTAAATATTAAAAATAAATTGTCAGGACAACATTTGAATAGGCAGACTCATACATTGTACTCTATGATGCGACTTTCTCCAAAAGGAACTACAGGTATCTCCTCAGATTTCAATTCCAAGGTCACTGGGAATCACGAAGTGGCAGGCTTATATCTAGGAGGGTGCACTGATGTTTACTTGCAACATGCCCCATCCCCACACCCCAATCAAAAAAAAAAATTTGCATATTTGACTGTAAATCTATAGTACAAAGGCCTATTACTCAATCTACAATGTGACAAATTATTGTCAACTTGGCCAATGCTTATCTCAATTTATTACAATGTTTCCAGTAAAAGTCCTGCTCAACTGAAAACAAGATTAATTCTAATTTATTTATTAACATAAAAAATATTTGTACAAAAAATAATTCTATTTAAAATAAACAAATTTTTTTCCCGTATACAGTATACACATTAAAATTATTAAGAATAACTGAAGACATGTTTGAAAAATATGTGTAGACCTCAAACACTGTATTACAGTACAGACTTTCAAGATTAGGGGATACTCTCATGAGTGCCATTAGACCTCAATAGACCCATTAGATAGGAGCACACTAGAATATAGTATAACCAAATAAAACTGTAATTTGCATATTAGTACATCATTTTAGGCTTGGATGCAGGTCCCCAGTAGGGCACTGCTCCATTCCCCCTCCACTGGACCATCATCACAAGGTCCTAGGCATTCCCAATTCCCCATCATAGAAGCCCCTATCTAGTAACAATCTACGGATGTGCATTTGTTTTTATTTATTTTTATTTCATTTCTGATATAAATAGGAAAATAAATACACAACAAATAAAATCAACAACATTTGGTCAAAGTTAACAAAAATATTATACTATTTTTAATAAATTTAAGATTCTAGAATTTCATGTATTTTGAGACTTAATACTGAAAATCATTTGTACAAATTTTGCATATTTTGGGCTTGATTTAAAGCACCGCTGAAGTGATCCTAAATAAAGTGTTATTAATATTTACTGGTACTATAAGGCTGCTTCTATGCACTTTTTATTATTACACCTTTGGTAGTCAATGGCTCACACACCTACTAAACTCATACCCACCTTCACTGCACCTCCCCGAGGGAGTAGTTCATAGCGCTGTAAAATAGTAATTAGCTATTAAACTCTCCACCCAAGAGTAGGTGGAGAGAGCCGATATGAAGTCTCTGGAGCCTAATACCAATATAGACAGTATTCACGCATACATTTATTCATTCATAATATATTGAGGAACATGGGCCAAGGGTTGCCAATAGTGAATATATCACTGTCTTACAAAACAGGCATTTTTAGAAATGCATGACAGGAAGTGCATTGGTCAGTACACAGAGAGACAATCCCATACAGTTTTTCCAATAGTATATCAAGTTCCTTGCACAGATCACTTATAAACATGGGACCAAGTGCTTAATATTCCATCTGAAGGAGAGCGTATTGTAATTGACAGGGAACATGCACACCCTAATTACCACTAATTTTCTAGCTTGTTCTCCATCAATGTTTGTGTCATGTTGACGGGTTGGGGGGGAGAGATACCCCAATAATTGCTACAAAATCATCAATATACCGGTATATCATTCTAAGCCTCATCATGTCACAGACCATGAAAAGTATTATGAAGTAAAATTAATTTCTTACATCTAGCCTGGCAAAATGTATGTTCTTGAAACCTTACTGTACAAATATTCAAAATCTGAAACTAAAACTATAGAGTATTGCCAAAGAAGTATAATAAGGTGAGAAGTTCACAGATGAACCCTTGCAACAAATGACAATAAACAGACATCATGATAATAGAAAAATTTGTGTGCAAGAAGTACCATGTAGTGGACATTTACAGTAATATTTCCCCTTATGTATAGTGACTTCCCCCTACTGGAAATTATGACTAACTTAAGGTCAGTCTGTTAAAAGATTTTGTAAAGTGTTGCTGTATTATGCATAAGTAGTAGTTAGGGAAGGGAGTATTTTAGGGTAGAGAAAACTATCAAACATTAATAAAAACCTATGGGAGTGTGCCAACCCCCTTTGGCATCATTCCATTATTTAGAAACAGTCTTAACAACTGGAATTAATCCAAAAGTCGGCCTCCTAAGATTATCCTTGGCAACAAAAAACTATGTGGGTTATGCCACGTTTTCATTATAAAATTCCATTAATTTATACTATTTTTACATCAATTGACTTCAAAGATTCTCTCTATCCATTTTCTTCTTTGTAAGGTTTTAAAATAATGTTTTAACAATTTTAATTGTTTTGAAGCTTTGCATGGCGAAGTAACAATGTTATAATAATATGCGGTATACCACATGGATACTACAGTAGTTCTGAAAAGAATTGTTATTTTTGTTGAGAATGTCCTAACGTTTTGATTGAGTTCTTTCAATCGTCATCAGTATAATAATATCTTTATGCATCAATAATAATCTCCCGATAGCAACTGAAGCAACTCAATCGAAAAGTGTGACATTCTCAACAAAAACAACGGTTCTTTTCAGAGCTATCTATATGGTGTACAGCAAGCATTTAACATAAGAATACCTATTTGTAAAAATACTATACAGGAAGCAAGATGAAATAAATAAACTTCACATTTCTTCAACTACTTAGTTGCTTTCATAGGTGTTGTTTATAGCAAATAATATTAAAAACAAGATTTAAAAGCCTACAAGGACTGGTGTTGAAGTAGAATGATTGCTAAGCAAACTAGTAGGCTCTTAACCTTTAAAAAAATGTATATTGATTTAATTTTATTATGAAACCACCTTATCTCTGAAGTTCAAATGTAATATTGATGATTATATTTATATATCAGAAATGCAATTTTAATAATCAATGATATTCTAAAACATGTTGAAGCCTAAAACTATGGGCATATCATATTTTCTGGTCACATAAAAATTTATATTGTGGACAGAGCTTTAAGCCACAAATCGCGGCAACAGTTGTCAGCTGACGTGATTCTAAGCAGAATGCAATGCATGGATCCTCTCAGACAACATCCGATAAAGGGCCCGATTTTAACAGTAAATCTTCCCCGCACTTCCAGGGCTTACAAAATACTTGTAGTGGTATTTCAATGAAAAATTGTAATATGATGTGTTAATACTTATAATTACGCCATTGAGTGGGCTGAGACAATATTTCCTTACAGTATCTGTTTCAAACCTTTGATATCTAGTTTATTTGTTTTGGATAAGGTAATTTGTAAGCCTTTTAAGCTGCATATATTGTGAAATCTGTATGCTAATTCAAAGCATCCTTTTTTTCAAAGGGATTCAAAGTATTAGGATAATGCCACTTTCATAAAAGCAAAATCTCCCAACCAACTATTGTTAATTCATGGAGGTTCACATTACAATGCCTTTGAGCATTATCTAAACATCGGCAAAGCCTACGTCATTGATATAGCCACTGGCTTTCTCCAGCAGACTTCCTGTGCGAGATGAGCATTTTGAAAACCAAAAGAATGCTCTGACGGGACTCTCGGCCCAACACCTACACACTACTACTTTGCTTATTGATTGTGAATTCATATAATCACTTGAGGCGTTTACACTATGTATTTCATGACAATCTAAAGCATGTTCAAACTAAAAGGCTAAATATTTGAGGGTAAAATCGACTTTAAAGTCAATAGCCTAAAGCAATGTAGCTACCGTTCAGAGGTGTGTGAATGAAAATGATACTTGGAAAAACGAACAACTGGTGTTTTAACTTCCTGTATTCCAAAATACTCTGAAAAAGAATTATAAATGTATTTATCCTGACAGTGTGCAACCAAGGTGCAGCATTCACTAAGAAGTACATCGATCATCTATAGATAAGGTATTCATTAATTGCTATTAGTTAATCAGTATTGTATTTGTACAATTGGCTATAATAATCAATAGTTTTTCAATGTGTAAAAAAAGTGTAATCACATTTATATCAACATAATGTAGCAGAATATCACAATCATCGGTCTATCATCAACACCATTGTCACCACCACATCATCATGATTATGTAGTTGTACCTATCAAAGATCGATTTAACTTTCATTGGTGACTAACCCACTGGGTTAGTTTACTGTATGTATATTTCACTACCCCATTGGCTATTTTACTAGCCCAGAGGAGTTTTGACTAGACATTGTACAACAGACTAGTACTAAATCAAGCCCTGCCTATGTATCATAAATATAACACAATATTATTATCATCATTTTTATTATCATTATCATTCTTATTACAGTAATGTATATTTATATAGAAGCATTAATATAGGACAATCATTTATATTATCTATGTATCATATTATTATTGTATCATAAATATAACACAATATTATAATCATCATCTTTATTATCATCATTCTTATTAATGTACATTTATACAGCATTAATATAAGACATAATTATCATTACCATTGTTATAATTGTTAATGTTAACTGAGTAATCAAATGCTTGTTAAGCATGAGCAATTTTACACAAATTTCTTTGCAGATAAAAGAGAAACATTTTGCAGATAAAAGAGTAACATTTTATATGTTATTAAAAAATCTAATGTTTTCTAGTTAGTTACTTTGAAAGCAATTTAAAACTAATTAAACTTAATTACACTTGGATTTAGCTTCTGTGTGGCTGAACTATTGTATTATCAGGGTTGTTGTTAATAGCCGGTAACCGGTAAAAATTGCCGGCTGTCAGAATATTTTATCCGCCTGTAGGCTAGGGCCTAGCATAAAAATTATTTCTATAACTCAAAAAAACGATCAATAAATTACTGTATAAGTATAGCCTAGGCCTTGCAATTACTTACTCATCGTTTTACATAAAGAGGAGAAGGCTAGGTATTGTCTTTAGAAACAAAATAAGAAAACAAAGATATCTAAAATTGTAAACAACGATG